GATCAAGCCAACTCCTGAAAAGCCAGAGTCATCAGTGCAGCATTGCAATCTGGCAGCCACCAAATTTTCGTGCATCGCTTTCACCAAGGAAGACATGCAAGTCAGGAATTCAAAGCATGATAGACCTTTATATTTCACCGGATATATTAGCTCGAGCATGGTTAACCGGATCCAAGTCGATCCGGGTTCTGCCGTTAGCATCATGCCACTTCGGTTGATGTACCACCTCGGAATTCCAGCCAGCAAGTTAGCCTCCACAGGAACGGTTATCTATGGTTTTAACACAAGCGGATCACGACCGTTGGGAAAAATCCGGGTGAAGTGTCAACTCGGAGATCTGAAGTCTGAAGTCACCTGCTATGTGATCGATGCAGAGACTTCTTATAACTTACTATTGGGTCGTCCATGGATCCACGGTAATCTTATAGTTCCCTCCACCCTCCATCAGTGTTTGAAGTATGTCGACACTAATGAAGAGGTTAAGACGGTGGTCGCGGATAAGCAACCATTCAAGGGGTTAGAAAATTACTTTACTGACTCCCTTCTTTATGGTGCTGAGTCCGATACTGAACCATCGGCCCATGGCACGGACAGCGGAGAAGAAGCTGATACCGAAGCCGGGCTCGATTATAGTGAAGGTCTTGTATTAAATAACATTGAACCTCTTGTAATCGATCTTGACGGTGATGAATCGTCGGACGAAAGTTGTAACTGACAACTTGCCGATAAAATAATAAAGGATGATTTAGAGTATTCGCCTTCTCTTGATAATGTAATGCAGGAATTATATGACGATCCTAGTCTACACATGCCACTTCGCTCGTCTTGCACGACAATAAAATATCTTCAAAATCCAATCGGAACAACTGTGATTCTACCCGCAAAGACAGGGGGTGAAAAAGAAATAATCTTTGGAAAAGGGAATCCATCCCCAACTCCTGATCTTTTCTTGGACACCGATTCGGATGAAGAAAAACTCGGGCGACATTTCTCTCGGTACAGTTCGCAAGCGAATGATTATATGACGAACCGGGGTTATAACCTCTCACTCAGTGAAGGTCTTTTTTTGGTCAAGGTATTAGGGTTCCACCCCGTCCTGCCTATGTACCAAAAGAAAAACCAGATAATTATTACAGTCGTAATAGGGGTCTGGGTTATGCTTCATCATCCGATGACGATTATGGCCAACAGATCATTAACCAATTAATAGATAGGAGCGGACATTCATCCGATACCTCAAATTGGGATTCTGATGTGAGCATTGGAGAAAAGTTCAAAAGTCTCATGTCAAACATGACAACAGTCGATCCTTCTACAACAGAAGAAGACGATCAGTTGCCCACTTGGGAAGATCCTTGGATACATTACATGAATATCCAATACGGTGATCGATTTGAGCAAAGAGAACCTCCTACCGAGGATAAGGTAGTCCAAGTTAATATGGGTGACGAAACTAATCCGAAACCTATATTTATTAGTGGTGATCTTCCACCGGATGAGAAAGAGGAACTAATCGCCCTCGTTAAAGAGTATATCGACGTTTTCGCATGGAACTACGAAGATATGCCAGGACTCGACCCAAATGTAGCAA